CATAGATGGCTAGGTGGCTAGAGTGCTACACAAGCTGTGTGACCCTGGGCCAAGTCATTTAGCCTCTGTCAACCTCATTTTCCTCATCTGTAAAATGGGGGTGATAACATCACCTACTGACCGCTGGAGAACCTTCATCACTTCAAGGACCTGACATTTCATTCATGTGCATGCTGCCTTCCCTCATCCCCAGAAGCCCTAGATTGCAAACCCTTCTACAACTTTCATAAGTGATTTTCAAGAGTTGCTGCACCAGATATTTCATCTTTCTGTGGCTGACTTGGTGATGAGCCTGCCTCTCTAAACTTGTTAATATTTCTTCATCGATGATATTAACACACTTCTCTGCCCCCCCAAAATCATTAGCAAGATTGCAAGATGAATGTTTCAACTGCTTATGAAAATGAACTGTTTCCAAGCATACTTGAATATTTTTGAAGCACCCATTTAATCTGTATTTGAGATCCAAATTGTACAACATTCTTCTCTATTTATGGTAGCAGGTCCTCTAAGGACCTCTCTATTGGGCAACAACATTGGTCTAGTTTGAGCTACTGTAATCACTTGAAAACAATTAAATCTCATTTCTTTTTTTTAAGACTCAGGCTAGATCCCTTCACCCCAATTATTTCAAAGCAAAGAGTTTTTACTGTACTTCAAATAACCAAATCAACAACTGGGTTGGACTTCTGTGGTCACTAGAGCGTAGTCACTGGTATAAAAAACATATAACTTTAAGGAGAAGGTGAAGAGCACTTGGGAGAAATGTGCCACTCTGAAGAGTGAAGGACTTATGTTCATCTTTGCTGATTTGCAATCAACTTCCTGGAGCACGAGCTCCTCTTCTCAGACGCAGCCTTCGGACCTTAGGGCACCTGCGTTTCTCAATTTCTTACACTTCTCTGATTATTAAATCCTAACTCTGGTCTCTCAGCCTCATGGGAGTTTCTGGAGTCAAGCCAGCTCCCCGAGGTCAGCAATTTTGCATGCAACTAAGTCCTATTTACCTATCCCCTCCCACGGCCTCTGCTGTAATCTCTGGGTCCCCTTCCCTAGCACCCCAAATCACGTATGCTCGGAATTGTAGAGTTGAAAGGCCATCTGACCCAACTCATCCTCTCCTCCACAACACACCCAGCAAGTGGTCACCTAGGCTCTGCTAGAAGACCTCCCATAATGAGGAACCACTACTCATGCCGTCCCATTCCACTTTTTTAAGTGCTTTTTCTCCATATGTCTTCCATATCCTGCCTCTCTGCCATTTTTAACCATTGCTTTTCCTTCTGCCTCTCTCTACCTGACAGCCCTTCAAATACTTAGCTATCATATCTTCTCCTCTCTAAGATAGACATCCCTAGTCCCTCTAGTTGATCACCAAATGGCCTGTTCTCTAGTTCACAAAAGTGCACTTTTATAATATTTATTTATTTACTGAGGAAGAGAGAATACACAAGTTCAGAAATAATACAATATTAAGGAAATTTATCCAAAAAATTGGCCTGTTAGCATACTGAGTGACACCTAAGCTTTCTAATGTAATACTTAACTAATGTCCCCATAGGCTCTCGGCAGCTCCTACAGATGTCACAAGAAGGGAGAACCCCATGGTAGAGTTCTTTTTATCAAATCACCTTCCTCCATTTTTGTAAGCCCTGTCTTTGGCCAGCTCCTGCTCCTCATCTGGTCCCCTTCCTCTCTATATATCCAAACTCAAGGGGAGTCTTCAACGGACAGTAAATAAGAAGCAAATTGAACTGAAATTTATTTTATTTTCATTTCTGAGGGTGCAGCTATTACCAAAAACCTTCTAAGATCTGCTTTTCTTGTCAGAAAAAAAAATTGTGTGTATGCCCTTTAGTTTCATTTTCACAGTATCAGGGTTCGATTTCTTTTTTTCAGCTTTTAAAAACCTGAGGCCAGACTTCAAGTCACAAGATATCACTGTGACAAATGGAGTCTCCAGCACCTTGGTATCAAAAGCACGACAGCCACATCCTGCCCTGATTCTAATAAAACATCCCCGTCATGAGCAACTTCAGTAACAGTTTAGTAGAGGGGGAAAATGGCCCTGTGGTAGAGGAGATAATCATGCCAGGGACACTGAGGCACCCCCGAATGGGGAAGTGGAGGCTTAGACCACCAAGGTTGACTGTCTCTTCAGAAAGGACATGTTCATGCCTTCTACAGAGCCGGGTGCAATGATTTTGTATTGGAGAGGTTCCGGATATAACAATGACTCACCACCCGGAAACGGCGTTAGTGAAAGAAGTCTTCCCTAGTCAGTGTCACTGACTGTCCTTGGACTTGGACTGTGGTAGAACCATAGGCTTCAAGCTAGAAGAGATCTTAAAGGTCAAGAAGCTCATCCCTCTCTTTTTACTGATGAGGAAATAGATGGAGAGGGCAAGGGACTTGAGTCAGCACCACGCCAAGCATGGCTGTGGGAATACACATTGCTACTGGTGTGTTTTTGGAGAAAGCGTGGCACAGTGAAAAGTCCTTTGGAGCTGGAGAAGCCTCAATTCCAAGGCTTCCTCTGATCCTCACTACTTGTGCAGCCTTGGGCAAATCACTTAAGCTTGCTGGGCCTCAGTTTCCTTATCTGTGAAATGGCTATCTGTGCTGGTTTCCAAGGTCCCTTCCAGCTCTCAATCTTTGATTCTATGATCTGAGTTCAAAGTCTACCTCAGGCACTGATTACTTATGTGACCATGGGCAAGTCTTGTCACTTACCTGGGACCCATTTCCCTCATCTGAAAAATAAGGGGACGGTAGACCTCTTAATCTATGGGCATATATGATATACATGAACAGGACATATGTGTCACTTGAGGAGTGAAAGAACCCTCAAAACAAGGGAGCTCAGGACTTTCCAAAAGCTAACTTAGACATTCAGAAAGGTCATGGAGGCAGCCATTGGGGAGCTAAACTCTACCAAGGTCCAACAAGAAATGGCGCCATACTGGAAAACAAGAATGGCCCTTACTGTGTGCCAAGTACTTATCACCTGGCCTCACTCCAGCTAGGAGGTACAGCTCTACCCTCCTTACCTCAGCTAGCTAAAAGTTAGAGGAGTCCCCAGGCTCAGTGTCAAGCTGTCTTGCTCCTAGGGCCTTGTCCCTGTGGCTCAGCCTCCTTACCTGGGCCGGATATTGCCTGGTTTGGCTTCCTGAGTTCCAGTCTTCCAGATCTTTGTGGCCTCTCGAGCCAGGCCTCAGCTCCTGTCTGAGTGGTCCTGGCTGGAGTCCCTAGACCATGGCCATCCAGGCCTTCCAGTTTGCCTAACCATCTACATCTTCCCTAACCATCTACATCTTCCCTCTCTTCACCTAGTTGATTTTTTACTTCTTTCAACTTAGACAGCAGTGACTTAGAAGAAAGATGATCCTTTCACCAATAATGGACAATGTCATTACTTTCACAAAGTAAATTTGCCTGGCCATTCATTTTCACACAATTCTCAAGTGCCATTCTTAGGGAGAGGCCAGCCCCTACATTCAAAATGACTTCCTGTTCTCACTGCTAACTTACTGGAAAAGCAAACATGTCTGGGGCCAGTCACCATCATTTGGGAAGTGGCAAATTGTAGGTTTTACCTAACTTTCCAGGATTAAGATAGCTCCCCATCATTGATGTTCTGTTTTTTATTCCCACCAGAAGCTTGCTTATGAAAGAATGCACTTGTAATAATATTATTTGATGCTCCTTTCTTCCTCACTTGAAAATACAGATTGCTCTTTTTCTTTACTGATTATTGTTAGTCACAATTGTTAGGTACAGAAACAAGATGGATTTTGGTAATGTCCTTTTACACCAGTTTCTATAATGAGGAATGACTATAGTCACTACTGGCCCCACTTTGAGACTGTGAATGTAGAGAAAGGATATAAATCCCCTTGGAAGATTCTGAGCCATCTTCTTTTCAATCTATTATTACGCAGCTTATACACAATAGAAAGCCTAGGGTAATGGCAATGGTTATATAAGCACTGTGGAGATTATTACATAGGAAAACCTGTTTTAAAGGAATTCCATTGGCATAGTACATGGAGAACTCCCAGTGTGAAAAGTCCATCCAAAGAAGCAGATGTAACTAATCTCAAATTTATAGCCTTAGAGAGTTGCCTGAGTATTGAAAAGGTTAGGGTTAAGGTTAACCTAAATTTAGGGGCAGGACTTAGGTCTTCCTAATTCCTGCATTCTACCCACTACACCAAGCTGTCTCTCATAATAATAAAATAATATCAACAGCAATGATAATGGCTTTAAGGTTTAAGAAGGCACATACAAACGTCATGTTTTGAGAACTTCACAACTCCATGAGGTAGATGATCCAAGTATTATTATCATCCTTATATTACAGATGAGGAAACTGAGACTCAGATATATTAAATGACTTGCCATAGCTATTAAGTGTTCAGGACAGCATTTAAACCCAGGCTTTCTTGGTTCCTGCTTCAGAATAAAAATATTCACGTTGGTTCTTGTGACTTAGAAAGAGGGACAGAAGGAAGGCATTGGTTTCCCTCAAATACGCATGAGAGGGTGATGTTATTCATCCCAAGTCACGGTCAACATGTTTGCATACAGTCATCTGAATTCATATTTGAAGATCACTCCTCCAATGCCCGATTAGTCTGAGTAGGCAAATTTCAATGTTAGACTTAAGAGTTAGGAAGAAAAAAACCCTCAAGTAAAAGGTGGTACCTTGGAAAATAAAATGGAATACGTTTTTATTTGTACTGTAATTTGAACTCAGTTTAGAGAAAGTTGGCTTACAATTTTTTTTCTCCACTTAATTGGTTGTCTGAACATGAAAGTATAGTTTCCAAAACTAATTAGAATTTCTCCCTAATTAATATTCAAGACCCAAATATGTTATCTTTGCAGTGTGATACATTTATTTTTTTTAAGTCAACCATGAAGGTAATTATACTCTTGCCTTCTTAAAAGTAGGTACATTTTTATTCATTCTGCACACGTCTCTGTTTCCCATTCAGGCAATGATAGAAGAAGCCCTCACCAGAGCAGAATCCTTCTCTGTCATGTACACACCATTTGCAACAAAAGTGAGGGCCGACAAAATCGAGAAAGTGAAGGAGGTTTTCACAAAAATGCACCCCGCATATGTGGAGTATATGTACACAGGTAACAACCAATATCCTCCTATTCATTTGTAAGTTATGTTTGTAGTTATATTTAACTCCATTTTTATTTATGGGTATATTTACCTAAATGTATAATTGTATTTAAATGTAAAATAAGAATGACGCCTCATAATGTAGTGCCTAGAGAGCCAGTCTCGGAAGACCAGGGTTCGAGTCCTAACTCTGACACACACCTACTGGGTAACCTTCAGTGCCCCCATCAGTCCTCTAAGATTACGAGTTATGAGGCAGGTACTCATCTGTATTGGTAAATGGATTTTCCTTACTGGGAGTTCCCTACATGAATGAAATAAAGGTCTGGACACAATAAACATACTATCTCATTATTATTATTATTTTGAATTTAAGGAATGAAAACCAGAAAAGATAAGTAGTTTAAATCTAATTAGTATATAAGAAGTTTTCTTTGTTTTCTTTTTTTAAGGGAGGGGAGTGTCTTGGGTGAGCATCTCTCATAAAAGGGAGAGTGGTGAAAAGGGAAATGAGAAGATGCCTTGCACTGAGTCAACCCAGGTGCCGAGCTAATGGGTATCAGAACTGGGACTCAACTCTTGCCATCTGTATTTGGGGTGAGAAGGTGGAAACTGTGAAATCTAGAATGGAACACAGCCAACTAAGGACGATTATGATGTACAAAAAGTCCCCATTTCCCAAAAGTCCATCATCACCACCCTTAGGTTCATGATGAGATGTTATCCTAAATTATGATTTTACTATTTTACTAAATTTACTACTTAATTTACTATTACTATTTGATGTACTATCAGGCATGATTATAATCACCTGCATGTTTGATTTTGCTATTTACTGCCTTTCCAATTTCTCTCTGGGCCTTTTCTATTATTGTCTCTTGGTTTCTGCTTCCCCCTTCTCTCCACATTTGCTGAAGTTTTGAAGAGCATTGTGTTGAATGGTTGGTCTTCAAATAGGGTTCCAAGAGACCCCGAGATAACCAAGAGGGTGGTACCTACGAAGAAAGACTCATGAAGTCCTAGAAGGTGTACTCACATTGGAGTCATTGGACCTGGATTTGAATGACAGCTCAATAACTTGCTGTCACACCTTTGTGACTTTGGTCATGGTGCATCTCCTGTCTGGCCTCTATCTACTATTTCACCTTGAAGAAATTCTATAGTCATTGAAGGAATAGCAGTGAGTGTTATCGACCAGCCCATGCCCTAAGGTCACAGCTCTATAAGCATCACCTGCTGTCCTGTCCCAATCACTGCCCTTTATCAGGACCCTCACCTGGGCGAAGAGATAACTCATGTCAGATGGAAGAAAGGTCGGGGCCGGTTTGTCAAGACACCTTTCAGATCAAACTCTTGAACTATTGAGTGTTCTCTGAACAAGGTGCTTAGGTAAATTCAAGGTGCTGTAAATCCGGCAAATGATAATGAATCATAAATCTCAGAGGAGCTGGGGGAAGAGTATCTGTCTGGGGAGAACAAAGGAGAACAGAGTCTTTGCCCGTGTGACAGATGTCTCTAATCTGTTTAACTCAAGCCTTAGTTGAGAACAAGTAACAGGCCAGATGACCACCTCAGATTTCCCAGTTGTGCAAGTCATGCTAGATAATTAATAGTTAAACCTGGGCATTTTATATTTCTTTGAGACCTCACAAGATTGAGAGACAGGATGGTGGTGTGAAAAAAGCATGAGACTTGGAAGTCCAAAGAGCTGGGTTCTAGACTGACCTCTGACTCTAATTATGTGTATTCTCAGGCAAGTCACCCCCTGATAGAATGTAAGTGCCCTAAGGGTAGAATGGATTCATTTTTGTCTTTGTATCAGCAGAACCAAAAGCAGAGCCTGGAGCATAGTGGGTGCTTAATAAATGTTTGGCAGCTAGTTAGATAGTATGCTAGGTTTAGAGTCAGGAAGACCTGAGTTCAAATCCTGCCTCAGATATTTAATAGTTGTGTGACTATGGGCAATTCACTGAACCTCTGTTTGCCTCAGTTTCTTCACCTGTAAAATAGGGTGGTTGTGAGGATCAAATGAGATAATATTTTTAAAGTGTTTAGCACAGTGTCTGGAACATAGTACATGCTTAATAAATGCTTGATCTCCTATGATTGATTCACCTCTCTACACCCCACATATGCATAAAATAAAATATACAAGATTAGCTAGGAAACCAATCATATTGAAATGCAGTTAACAATTTTTTTAAACAAGTTCATGGACCCAAGTTAAGAGCACTGGAATAGATGATTCCCTAATGTCCCATCCAACTCCAGGGGTTCCATGAGCCATGATTTCAGTGGTGCGGATAATCCTTTCACCAATGCAGACCACAAGTCCTCTACACCTTACTGAGCAATCCGGTGAGTCTCTATGGCCAAAACATTGATGACCTTGTGGTTAACATCATGATGAGCCTCTCCCAACTTAGTACTGTTCTCAGATGGCAAATACACAATTCTTCAAGGGTTCTACACTCAAAGGCATTCCTGTCTTCTACCAAAGCTTGGAAATCCATTTTTTCTGTTCTGACTTTGTATATTGTCTGTATATGAAAGGCAGCAAAGCATAGTAGGGAGGTGACCCTTTAGTCAAAAACACCTGAGTTGAAGCCCTGCCTCTGACATGGGTCAGTGTGGGCTGGCTCTGTGACCCTGGGTTAGGTCACTTCCCTCTCTGTGCCCCTGGAAACTCACTAAGATTAGATACATTGCAGAGCAGAGCCAACATGCACTGGTAAATGCAGAGAGTTTCCTTACTGGACGCTCCCTTCGCAAATGAAATCACAGCTCAGGTCTCTTACAATAGTTTATATCCTTATTTGTGCCCATGTCTTCTCTCCCTCTAAAATGTAAGCTTTTGTCATCTTGTTATCTTTTTACCCCCCATGCCTAGCATTGGGCCTGGCATTAATAAATGCCTCTATGGTGATAAAGTAATAATACGTTCTAGAATTTCCATAGGATAATTTCATGTGTACATAGGTGTCATTGATGGAAGAGACCTTAGAACCCATCAAGTCCACACCCACCTCCCCCATTTTATAGATGAGAAGATGGAGGCATCAAGAAATTGTGTCTTAATAATATCCCCCGTTTATGTAGTGCTTATATATTATCTCCTTTGATCCTCACAATGACCCTATCATTATTATTACTATTATCAGCTATTATTATCCCCATTTTACAGATGAGGAAACTGAGGCTGGGGGAGGGTTTAAATGGCTTGCCTGTAGTCATGTAGCTATTTCCGATGGTAGGATTTGTACCCTGATCCTCCTGATCCCAAATCCAGGACCATATTCCATTGGCCTTTAATTTTCAGGCTTCCATTTTTTATTCTCTCAGATACCTTTAAAACACCTAACCCCTTATAATTACCCCCCAGAAATACACAGAAACAATCTCCTTCTTTCTCTAGTTGCACTTACACGTGGATTGCCTAAAAATGGATATATTTGCATATGAGGTCACATTGTGGATGCGCGTGTGCGCACGCACACACGCACACACACACACATTGATATTGAAGGAAGATTTTTGTTCTGGGTAAGTACCAGTCACCTCAGTAGCAACTAGAACCAAAAGAAATGGGCTATACTTACAGTAAGGAACAATGGGTAAAGGCAATTATATCTTCTAACAGGCATCAGCTGAAGGTCATAGACTCTCCATCCTTGGGGCTCTTGGACAGACAGCCCCATCCCACACTGACATTTCTGCTGGAGATGTAGTTACCATCATTAAAACTTGGAGTCTCACTAATACCTCCTATTCTCCCAATGGGGAGCAGATGAGGGCTGGCAGACATGTCAGCGTCTCGAAAAACCATGCCCACACCCAGGTCACCTTCTTCAAACCCAGATAGTACTAAGTTCACTACTCACATGACCGGGAAACATGCCCAGCTCTCTTCTGGCAAAGGAGGCAGCCTATAGTAGTGTCAGGGAACCGTGCAGAGGTACCCTAGAAGAGCCCCCCCCCAGAATAGCTCACTTCTGCACTAGCCTTTCCCAAATGAATATTCACCAAGAACATCCATTGTCAACTGTCTAAAAATACATTTTATTGAACATACCAGCTAAACTTAAGGCTGCATTAAAACTGAGAATTATCTTCCCCTCAAAGACTTTGCCTCTCAAATAATATACGTCAAATTGTGTAACCCATGTAAGAAACATTTAGCAAACCATAAGCTGCTATATATTACTGTTACTATTATTACATTGCAGTGGAGCTCCTTTAAGATGCTAATATTGGGTGATGTTTACCATTCAGGTCACCTTAGTTAAATTATTTAATATTGCCAAGTCTTAATTTCCTTATCTGTAGTGGGGGGGAGGTTAGAATGGATGACTTCTGAGGTCCCTTCTGGCCCAGGATCTTGTATCCTTGGCTTTACAGGCTAACTTTGTCTACGAAATCTGTTGTTTGCTTTCTGTAAAACTGTTTTTTTTTTCTTTTATGGAGGGTAGGGAGCAAAGGACATGGTTAGACCCACAGACATCTAAATTCACATAAGAGCTCCCTGTGTTATCACAGGACTAAACTATATATTGTTTGGGGAGGGAGAGTACTCATTGCAAAGGAGAGCAGCTACTCATTTTTCTTGTTAAAATAAAAGCTCAGTTTGATTCATGCCGAGTAGTCTATGTACATCAAATAAATAACAATTTCCTACCACCAGAATTTCTTTCTTTTCATTTAGAAAGTTTTTGCTCGGGATTTTATTCATATATTCCAACAAAAATAATGCAATTCTGCATATTTTTCTACAGGCATGGCTGTATTTTAATAATAATAAAGTAATCTAATAAGCATATGCTGACTTTTCTTGATGGAAATATCAAGATTTATTTATGGAATAAGTAAACATGCAGTAATCCTTAGTAATGCTTAATAGAAAAGTTTTCTGGTTCAGATATCAATTACCTCAGCACTTAGGTGGATGAAATAATACTTTGTCTCATCAGTCCAATTTAATTCCCAAGAGTAAATATATACTTCTAGAGAA